GTGATTGGCTGATTAGAAATTAAGTGTTAACGAGCAGTTGGACAGGTGTACCTAATAAAGTGGCCGGTGATTGAACATTTCAAAGCAACCACACTTTAAATGCTCTTGTCTCATTTTATCTGACTTTTTGCAAATCTCAACGATCAAGAATATTGTTTCACCAACTCTATCTTCAGTAAGTTATTTTACAAACGCAGATTGCAATTGTTTTTTTTATATTATATCACAGTTGCCACCATCAGGGCCTGTATCTCTCCCTGTCTGGACCCTTCTCCTGTGACCTCTGATACATGGTCCTCATTCACCCAGTGTTAATTCAGGACATCACAGAACTACTGGGTTGAATAAAACTGTGCTCTAGCCCCCTTGATGTTCTGCCCTCATCTCTTTTTAAAGATATTTTAACTTTTTTGGTCCAAGTGTTGTAAAACTTGATTAATTCTTCTCTTTGCTCTGGTTCTGTACACCACTGCTTCAAACTGCTGTTTGTGCTCTTCTTAAAAAAACACTCATTTGGACTCTTTGCCTGAGAATTTCAGACCTCTTTCCAAACTACCATTTATATCAAAAATCCTTGAGAAGRTTGTAGCTGAGCATTTGAACTGCTTTTCAGAGGAAAATGACATTATGGACAYTTTTCAGTCTGGATTTYACAAATTGCACTCTACAGAAACAGMTTTATTAAAGGTTTCAAGGGACTTGATGGTTACTCTAGAAACGACACTGTACTGGTTTTATTGGACTTAACTTCAGCCTTCGACACTGTGCATCACTCTGTTCTTACCAACAGACTGATATCCAGTTGTATGTGTTGCAACGCGTCAAGATGCCTCATCCACTCATCACTGATATGAATGAACAGTATTAGTGAATTTATTGTCTTCGGTTCTGTGTCTCTTTTTGACAGATTATGGAGTCTAAGATCAACCAGCAGGCACTGGATGAGATTGAGGCTCGTCATAAAGACATCATGAGGCTGGAAAGCAGCATTAAGGAGCTTCATGACATGTTTGTTGATATTGCCATGCTGGTAGAAAACCAGGTATAGACGTCATGATACTGTAGTAAAAAAACTAAAAATTACAGGACCATTTTTAACTCATTTATTCTTTATGCTGCTGGACCACAGTATTAAATTTAGTTCTTTTACGCAATCGGAAATATTTAATCATAAACTACATCAAATATTTYGATGTGATTTGTGTACAAAGGGTCACATTCATGCTGTTTGATTCTGTTACACTTTGTTGTGTAATGGAGAATGATRTATCATTTCTAACCTGTGATAACAACAAACAGCACCTGCAGCCAATATAATTTGTATACTTGAACTTATTGAACAGTAAAYTGATTATTGTTCATTTCATTTACCGTTCTGCCTGCTCAGTTTCAAAAACCTGTGCCACTTCCTGTGTTCTCTTCTCTTCTCCATGTTACCAGGGAGGCATGATTGACAGAATTGAGAGCAACATGGACCAGTCCGTAGGTTTCGTAGAGAGGGCTGTGGCCGACACCAAGAAGGCTGCCAGGTTCCAGCAGGAGGCGCGCAGGGTGAGTTGTGACAGACTAAGGTCTGAAGATGTTCACAAACGATCGGGATCTTTTGAACGACTCCTTACAACAAATGAAAGGAGCCAAGTTGTGGGCAGTAAAGAGCCGTTTGTAGTTTTATTTTTTATTCCACATATAATCTTTATTTTTCTTCCTTAAATCACTCCTGCTTTGCTTTTTCCTGGAAAACAGGCAGAGCGCTGGAGTGCAACAGCTCAGGGGGGATGGGGGAGAGGGTTTGTGTTTGACAAACACATGGTTCTGCCCACGTAACGTGATGACGTATTTCCCTACGTGATGACATATTTCCTTACATGATGACATATTTCCCTATGTGATGACATATTTTCCTACTTGATGATGTATTTCCTTATGTGATGACATATTTCGCTACATGATGACATACTTTCCTACTTGATGATGTATTTCCTTATGTGATGACATATTTCTCTGTCATGACATACAGTGGGG